AATAGATGGTGCAAGGGTGTTTTTTTTTTTTTTTTTTTTGGCAAGGGTGTTTTTGTGTGTTGAACCCGGTGGATATCTGTGGAGAGCTGAGGAACGGCTGGGCTAAGAGGAATGATTGGTTCCCCGTTCCCGAACGTATATTTTATTATTTTGAATATTTTCACATTTGGACGCAGCTGAGGTGGAACGAGCAATAATGCGTCCTCTTGCCCGCCTTGCCAGATCAGAAACAGGCTGGTTTATTATGGAAAATCTATCACCTGGTGGTCCCCACAGCGCAATGGCTGGCAAACAACAGTCAGCACAAGGATCAGATGTGTACTGCAGGGTGTGGACCGGTGGACTCTGTCCCTACCGGTAGTAACCTCTTTGTGCGGTGCCCGACTGCTCGGACCTTTTGGGAATGGTGGGCGCACGAAGGAGCAGACAAGTCTTAGGTGGACGTCGCGGACTCCGAGGTGGACGATGCAGCGAGGCCTGTGGATCCTGCGGAATGAACGCTGCAGGCAGGGATGCAGGAAGGGAACATCTGCACCGCTGCAAGCATACCAACCAAGAACAGGGGCTGAAAAATATCAGAGTTGCCCTCCTGGCTGATCTATCGAGATGCAGGCACGCAGGGGAGCAGAAGGAACGAGCCGTCAGGGCAAGATGGGGCCTGTATCCGCAACTGCTCGGCCGGGACCCCCAGATGGGCCATGATATGCAGTTTGGCCCCTTGCCTGATGCGCCACATGGCACTGCCTAGACCCGAGACAGAGGAAGAATCAGATTAGAGACCTCCACTGATTTGTACTATAGTTAGGAGGGATGGGTGGGATTGATAGCTGGAGGCTAATAGATGTACTATAGTAGGGAGGATGAAGGGCTGGAAGTAGGTAGATAGGAGAGAGGAACAAGGGAAACTCACTGCTACCAGCGTCGTCACCATTGGTTGATGGAAAGGTGTGCTTTCTCATGTTTTGTTGTTTTGCAGATCTCAAGGCAAGAGCTCAGAGCGAAACAGAAATCCTCCAAAAGAGGGAATGGCATTGTCAGTCCTTGTGCTTCAGCAGAGGCAATCGGTGTGAGAGTTGAGCAGCTAAGGGGCGCAAGGGAGGCATTGAAAGAGATCATCCAGAGCAAATATTGCAATCCAATTTTGGTAGGATTCTGCCTTTTCCTTCTCCGCTTCATCTGTCTGTCTGTCTGTTTATCACCCTGTCTGTATCTCTGTCTATCTGTCTGTCTGTCGGTCGCTTGGTCAGTTGGTTGGCTGGCCGGGTGTGTCAGATGATCGACTAGTCAGTCGGTCGGTCAGTTGGTCGGTTGGTCGGTCAGTCAGTAGGTTGGTTGGTTGGTCGGTTCGGTCGGTCAGTGGGTTGGTTGGTTGGGTCAGTTGGTCGGGTCGGTCAATCAGTCGATTGGTGAGCCCACTGCCAGCCTGCCTGCCTTTCTGTCCATGGGTCAGTCTGTTTGTTGCTCTGTGTGTCAGTCAGTCAGTCAATCAGTCTGTCTGTTTGTCCACCTATCTGCCCACCTGCCCATATGTTCGTCCCTCTGTCTGTCTGTCAGTCTCTTTATCTCTGTCTCTGTCTCTCTGTCTCTCTCT